CGCCAACTGATCCGCGGGGACTGAGAGCCACTCGAGAGTCGGGCGGTAGGGATACGCACACGAAAAAGAAGCACGTTCGCACGTGCGAGTCAAAACTTTGGCACAATACAAACTAAACCTTTCAATTCTTAATTTAAATCACAAAATAAAACAAAAATATTGCAACGCATTCGTATTACAAGTACATTAAAAAAATAAACAGTAAAAAACTACATAAAGTGTACATAAAGAATTTCGTGTACTTTTAGATTATAAAACTTTGGCACAATACAAACTAAACCTAATTCTTAATTTAAATCACAAAATAAAACAAAAATATTGCAACGCATTCGTATTACAAGTACACTTAAAAAATAAACAGTAAAAAACTACAAAAAGTGTACATAAAAAATTTCGTGTACCTTTAGATTATTACTTATTTTGACATGGCAATGAGTTGTGACATTTCGAATTACATAAAATGCCTGCTTTTTTACACTTACAACGGTTTGTTGTGCATTTAATTTTGCAGCTACATTTAATATGGCCCTGAGATCCAAACGCTGATTGATCAGCATTCATACTACGTAGTGACATCTCACACAGTGGCACATCTGCTGAAGTTAGAAAGATTTCGTTACAAATACCGAACTGATTTCGAGAATAAAGAGAAGATAAAATGCCGCTCTTGGTGCCAATCTTATAAAATCCATCTTCTGTCACTTCTAATATGACGCCTATAATATTTCTCGGATCACCTTTATTGCGATCAACACTTGGCAATGGAATAGTTACGGACGTACCAACTTCAGCAGGTGGAAATTTTTTTTCACTTAGACGTAACATTTTTTTGGCTTGCTTTTGAATAACATCTATCGCTTTAATTTTGTTAGAAATGAGATCGCGTTTGACTATGCAATTCCGACATAAAATAATAGAGGCTTCTGCTTGTAATTCGCCGCAAAAATTATGAACAAACGCCTTGCATTCTATGCAGTGATATATATCACCATCTCCTTTCTCACAAACAGAACATGTTACGACAATCGATGCAGAATTTACATTTTCAGGACAATTAATGTTTTCGCGAACTTCTTCAGCAATGAGTGTATTGTTGGTGTTCTCAGATGATCCGTTGTCATTATGTACTTCAGTTGAATCAATTATGTGTTCTATTTCTTCTTTTGTTACTACATCATTTATTACCGACGACGGTAATTGAGACGATTGAAGACCAACGTGAGCCTTTCTTCCAAACATTGCTTCATAGGGTGTTTGTTTGATTGCAGAATGCCAACTGGTATTTTTCTTCCATTGGCAGAAACGTAATCCTTCACTCCATTTAGACAAATTGTTGTCCTCCATCCAGGCGACGAGTATATCCTGTACATCTCGGTTCGCACGTTTAACGCTACCCTGGCTCTGAGAATGTCTTGGTTTGCCGTGCACTATTTTAAGATCAGGCCACATATTTTTTAATTCCTCTATAACGCTGTTACAAAATTCTCTTCCGTTGTCTGATTGTAAGACGGATGGAGCACCGATAACGCAAAATATGTCTACAAGATTATAAGCGACTTCTGCAGCAGTCTTGGTCTTTAGCGGGCGAAGATACACAAATTTGGTTAAGTGTTCTTGATAATTTAAAATGAATTTATATTCTCCATCCTGGCTTGTTTGCATATCGATCAGGTCTACTTGTGCTCGGTGATTGATTTCTTTGAATATCAAAGGCTTAACTACAACACCTTTTTTGGGGTGAGCTTTCTTCTTTTTACAAATGAGACAAAGCTCAAGGTAAATATGAATTACCTCTCTTGTTATATTTACGTATTTCGTTTTAATATTCTTTTCTAATTTATGTTTTCCGCCATGTCCGGTTTCCAGATGTGCCGCATGGATAATATCAAAAACTTGTTCATTATGTGTGTAATACTTAATCTCCTTCTCGTTTTTTAACAAAGGTTGAATAAGTTTCTTAGATTCACCTATAGATAACACATCGTATCTTTTAAGACGTCTGTAATCGGTGTGTGTCTTTTTGGTCCTCACTTTTGCTTCTTCTACCGCATAAATTAAATCTTCATATGCGTTTGCATTTTCTATTAAAAAAGAATTTACACGTAGCTTTAAAGATTTTAACTTTTCTTCGAACTTCTGACGCATTTGATTTCTTTCTAAGTCCGTATCACACATGACTGACATATGACACACAAGTAATGAATACAATTTCGCTCAAAACTTCGAAGACAAGGTACAGTTTTGCGTAAAATATTCGACAATTTTCCACTGCTACGAGTCTCGTACATTAACGTAATCGTATGATATAATAGTACATCATCCCGTGCTCACGCCAATGTCGCCAGCTGATCCGCGGGGACTGAGAGCCACTCGAGAGTCGGGCGGTGGGGATACGCACTATGCACACGTGCGAACGTGCTTTTTTTTCGTGTGCGTATCCCCACCGCCCGACTCTCGAGTGGCTCTCAGTCCCCGCGGATCAGTTGGCG